GGGGGGGAGAGAGAAAGGGCCGTGCAGAGCCAGAACTCCGGCAGCTGCTCCCAGGAATGGGGGGCTGGGTTTCCCCCTCCTCCTCCAGCAGCTGCCAGCTGGCCCTTCGGCCAACGGCCCACTGGGAAATTCCTGGTATCCTGCCGGGCCAATCTGCCCCTGAGCCTTAGTCATGTCCTATTGCCCCATGTCACATGCCTCCTTCTCCAGTAGCAGAAATGTAAGGCTATGTTCAGGCGTAGGTAACATCGAAGCACAGAAGAATTGTGCAGCTCCAGAGAGCGCTATATGACAGACACTAGAGCGATAAAAATTGTGCCCTTCCCCAAAATGGGATGGATGGATGGACGCGCGCGCACGCACACACACACACACACACACACACACACACACAAAAAACAATATTAATGTGGAAGAAACAGACAAAGGAAAAATGTGCAGGGAAGTTAGTTTCAAACATTATAAACTCAGATTTAAATTGACGTGTTAAGGGAGCAAATGGAGTGCATGAAAACAGCTGGGAGATGTGGGCAGAGTGGCAGGAAAGGACTGCTGAACTCCAGGAGAGGAGAGCCACTGAAGAGCAGCAAAGCGAGGCAGCAGGAGACCCTCTTACCTTCCTGACAGCTGTGATGGAGTGCCTGGCTGCATGCCTGGAGAGGGATTCCTTCCAGAACCTCATCCACCCCATGGCAACACCACTCCCTCCTCCGAAGCCCCATTACTTCCACTCCCAGAGTCATCAGGGTCTGCCTGGAACTCAAGAGCAGTCTTCAGGATCTCTGGAGGCAAAAAGCTGTCCCACATGTGTTTGAGTCCCCTCCCCCTTCAGGTTCCCACTTCTTTAATTTCCCAGCTGTTTTCACCAAATAAAAACTCATGTTCTTTGAACAATGGTTTCTTTATTGCTTGAATTGCAGGAGTGGGCCAGGAGATTAAAGGCAAACACAAGGCTCTTGTTGAGAGCATCATGGAAGAGTCTCAAAACTGGCCATTCGTAAAACTGTCTTTCAACGCCTCTCTGATTTGCGCTGCCCCACATTGTCCTCTCCTTATCACCCTGGTGTCCAGCTGCTTAAACTCTCTTCCTAGGTGCTCTGCCTCAGCACCCCAACCTGTCAGATAAGTTTCCTCCTGGCTCTCACAAAGATTATGGAGCACACAACAGGCTGCCACCACAAAGAGAATGTTGTATTTGCTGAGGTCCAACTGAGTCAGGAAACTCCCAAACCTACCCTGTAAACATGCAAAAGCTCTTTCAACCACCATTCTGCACTTGCTCAGCCTGTAGTTGAAGTCCTCCTTGCTGGAGTCTGGGTTGCCCATGTACGGCATCATGAGCCACGAGACCAAGAAGGAGGCTGGGCTGCCAAGGATCACAATAGGCACTTCCACCTCTCTTTCTGTCTGGGGAAAAAGGTTCCACTCTGCATCTTTCTGAAGAGACAGGAGTTCCCATCCCATGTTAGTGTTGGTAAAATGGCCCATGTGATCCACCAGTGCTTGCAGCACCATGGAGAAGCACCCCCTTGTGGCATATGTACTCCTTGGCAGGGTGGTTGGGGGCCAGGATTGGGATATGTGTTCTGTCTATTGCTCCATCAGATTTAGGGAACCCCATCATGTCAAAGTCCTCCACTGTGGTATCCACGTTT